TAATTTGCAATAATTGTTATTATCAAGGATGAAAATAATTTGAGGTAGAAATGTTGCCAAAGTTGCTCGTGCCCATGAAATATTTCAAAGGGGCCCTTCCCCGCCTTACCCCCCTCCCATTTATGGTGAATTAGGTTTGGGAAAAGTAGGATGGATGGGGATTCAACACAAGGAAATAGGCGGTGAAGAAGAAGTATGCGAGATTGATAGGACAGGAGAGAGCGGGGAGGAGGGAGGAAGGGGGAGGGGGATGCAAAATGATAAATATAAGGGGCTGGAAATAAACTACACAGATGACAACAACAATAACGATGATGATGATGATTGAGGAAATTTCTGCCTGAAAATTATATGAAATCTCATTGGAAAACCCTCTCACCATCTCTTACAATTTTTCTTTTTCTTTCTATTTTTTCTTCACTCTCTTTTTTTTTTAAAATTTTCTCTCTCTCTCTCTCTCACCCTCTCTTTCTTCCTTCCTCTATGTGTTTTTGAAGATTTGTTAAATGTTGTCAGCTTCTTCCTTCTCCTCCTCAAACTCTTTTCTCCTTCATTCATGCAATAAACATTCAACAACAATCATTAACTATTTTTACCATCATTTCTCTTCAATCATTATTATTATCATCGTTTTTTTTTTTTGTCACTGTCAATGTCACTTTCATTGTTACTGTCACTGTTACTGTTATTATTATCATTCTAATTATCACGCTATTTTTTTTTTTTTTGTATACATCAAATTAGCTTACCATTTCAAACATTCATCATTGATGCTTGGAGTGATAGAGAAAAGCGGAAGAGGGAAGAGGGGAGAGATGTTGATGAAATGAATGAAAATGAAAAATTTAGCTGTAACAAAATAAATGTGATTTTATCGGAGAGAGAAGGGGAGAGAGAGAGAGAGGGAGAGAGGAGAGGAGAGAAGAGAGAGAGCTATTAATGGTAAACAATTTGTTAAATGAAACCATCTGATTTTTCGATTCAACATTCATCCCTTTCAATACAGAAAAAAAAAAAGCAAACAACATTCAGCAAAAAACGAAATGGATGAAGGTAGAGAAAGAAGAAAACAGAGATAGAAAGATTTTTTTTTTCTACTAAAATTTAAAAAAAAAAATAAAATAAAATATCACTGGAATGAATCAGAGAGATATTAGCTACATCAACGAATGATAAGCAAAAATACGATGATTGTCGCTCATATTTTTTTTTTTTGCGGATGGATAAAAGACAAGCGGAAGAGGGAAGCGGATACGTGGAAGTGAAGGGGTGGCCGGAGATGAATATCAACAAACGTAATATTTCCACGTTTTGATCTTATCACCACTATCATTATCGTCATCATCATCAACATCATCATCATCGTCCTCGTCATCACCATCATTATCATCATCGTTATTATCATCACAGTCAGCAACATACAATAGCAATTTTGCTGCTCAATGGAAATTAGTCAAAAAATAAAAAATAAAATTGCCTGTAAAAATAACAATTAACAAAATTATGCATATATTATTTACAGAATGACAGTAAATATTACAATTTTACTTTTTTAAAAACTTTTCCTCCTTTTTTTTTTTGTTTCATAATGAAAATTATTACCTCTGAAATATCACCTAAAAGTTTTACTTTTCTCATTTTTTTTTT